GTGTAATCAAGACACAAACACCTCTAAAGGTAAAACCTGGGTAAGCTTACGCCATGATCATGTGCCGGAACTCTGGTATCCACCAAGCTAACAGACAAAGTCAGCTATGTGTAATCAAGACACAAACACCTCTAAAGGTAAAACCTGGGTAAGCTTATGCCATGATCCTATGCCGGAGCTCTGGTAGCCACCAAGCTAACAGACAAAGTCAGTTATTTGTAATCAAGGCACAAACATCTCTAAAGGTAAAACAGGGGTAAGCTTACGCCATGATCATATGCCTGAGCTCTGGTATCCACCAAGCTAACAGACAAAGTCAGTTATGTGTAATCAAGGCACAAACATCTCTAAAGGTAAAACCGGGATAAGCTTACGCCATGATCATGTGCCTGAGCTCTGGTATCCACCAAGCTAACAGACAAAGTCAGTTATGGGTAATCGAGGCACAAACATCTCCAAAGGTACAACCGGGTTAAGCTTAGGCCATGATCAAATTCCGGAGCTCTGGTATCCACCAAGCTAACAGACAAAGTCAGTTATGGGTAATCGAGGCACAAACATCTCCAAAGGTATAACCGGGTTAAGCTTAGGCCATGATCAAATTCCGGAGCTCTGGTATCCACCAAGCTAACAGACACAGTCAGTTACGTCTAATCAAGACAAAAGCATCCCTTAAGGTAAAACCAGGGTAAGCTTACGCTATGAATCAAATGCCCGAGCTCTGATGTGAAGAATATAACAATAAAAAATACACTCCAATGTCCCGGACCAAATATTGCAGAGCCGCTATGGGAGCAATTTTCGCTCTCGTCGACAAAATATGGCTACATTTGATGGCTATGCTACGACTGAAAGGGAGCGATCATATGTGTGTCTTGCCGGAATAGAATCAATTAGAGAATCCGACGGTTCTGACTGAGAAAGCTGGTTTTATGTCTTTGCGGATGGTGTATTGTTATTGTCGGCTGGAAGAGAGATGTGAACGCGGGAAATGAAAGAATGCGTTGATTAACGAATAAGGAATAACTCTGCGGCATTTTTCGGGGCTTTTCAAAACAGAACCAAAGCCGGAAAGATTAATGTTTTTCTCTCTCTTGTAGTTTCATGAGCAAGAATCCATGCTTATCTCAAAGTTGTTTTTCCTTATTGAAGAGCAAAAAAGTGGCATCCTTGCATGAATGCTGAGACAACCGCCCATTTATGACTTTCCACAGCAACAAAATGCCGCGATGCTCGCCATATTAATGAAACCGGAAATGTAGTTTGCCATTTGAACCCCTTCCGGGTTGTGAATGGTCCTCAACGGCCGGTTATAGCGACAGGAAAATCTAACCATGTTCGCTGGAGAAATATGACGGAACAAGACTGACGCATAAAGGCAAGGGGAAATATACGATGGCAGGGCTGGCTGCGGAATAGAATCAAACAGATGTAATAAAAGGAAAACCAGAAAACGTTAATTCTAGAAGAGCAATCAGAGACGCTTCCAAAAAGACCCTAGGAAAATTTATCTCAAGTAGGGATCAAAATAAATGTTGCCTTAGTTGGACACACATAAAGCATTAACAGATAACCTGTGGCTTTAAAAGCCACTTGTAAAGACACGGTTTGAAAGACATTTGTCGTTGTTTGGGAGACAAATAATAAGACACTGCTTGAAAGATACATGTTGCTGATTGGTAGACAGGTGAGAAGACACTGTTTAGAAGACGCGCGTGAAGACACTTTTGCAAGATAATTGTTAAAGCACTGTTTGAAAGACAATTGTTAAGATACTGTTAGGAAGACACTTTATAAGACACTGCAGTAACCTAAAGGTAATTTTTTAGACACCTTTCGAAGACAGTTGCTAGAAACTGTTTGGAAGACAATTGTTAAGGCACTTTCTGACTGTTGATACATCAACCTTCTGTTGATACATCTCAATTGGTTTAGTTATCACAGACAGCAAGGAGCGGCTAGCCGAAATAACGCTTGGCTCTCACTTGGAACACCCGAGTTCGAATTCTCGATAAAGTTTGGGATTTTTGTTTCTGTCGGGAGCAAAAATAAAATCCTCACCTGTACAGACTGTTGCACTAACAGTTCTGTCCTGATTCCTCTGGCTCAACCACCCCCCCCCCTCCCTCCTCCTCCTACACCGCAAAAGTGGTATACCATAGACAGAAATTTTCAGTTTTTATCGCCCACAGCTCCACGTTAGTGATTCTATGTAACCTAATTCCTTCTATTCTGAGCATTACCGTTTGCTGTTTCCTTTGTTTACTAAATTTTACTCAACTGGAATATCAGATAACGTCTCCAACATGATTTCTATTTTTCGCGATGTAAAGGTTTACGGGCTTAGCAAAATTCACGTGTACTGTATGTAATAAATCCACATTGATCTCAGTTGTAGCAGATTCTGTCTTTATTTCCTTTGTGACCAGACTTTGGTTTTTTTTAATAAGTGGGACCCTTTTCCACACCTTTAGGCTGTATTGAGAATACAGAGCCAGACCGATGTTTTATCGACAAATCTGCACTAGATTAAGGATGTGATCAACATCACACCAGCCACCTTTACTTTCCAAGATCCCCGTGCGGGTTCCGAGGCCCTGTTATAGGGAAAAACAAGAATAGAACCATTGCCTACGCAAAAGCATGTCCTAAGCACGACCGGCTCCAGCTGACGGGCCGTGCTGCTGACCTCACCGGATCGGGCTAACCATGCAATAACGCAGCGTTTCTTAAACTGGGTACCGAGTCGCCCTGGGGTGCCGTGAACGTATGCCAGGCGTGCCACGGCAATAATCAAGAAAAGTCGGATAAAAATTGTGAAATTATTAAAGAAGGCATGTAGATACTTAAAAGTTAAAATGTAACTTCTCTTTCCTGGCCACTGTCAAAAATAGTTTATTTCTTGTTTGAGAACCGCTGTGTTAACGCGTCGTTAGCCCGACCCGGTGACGTCAGCAGCACGGCCCGTCAGCTGAAGCCGGTCGTGTCGTAAGACTCGACTAATTGGGAGCTTCCTTCGAAGTCGGAGTACATCTGCCTGTGAGGCAAAAAATCAACAGTCTGCGTACAAATTAGTTAGATCTGTCAAACGGATGCACACGCAACACTCAGGTTCTGGAACAGGACTGCGATCCAGGAGTGGACGAACAACCAGAACTATCTGCCAGAGTTTATAGTTGGTGAACACGAAGAAGAAGACTTTCCAAGACCACACCTGGTACCAACTTATCACTGGGTCAATCTGACAGCCAAAGCTATTTTTGATAAAAGTCGGGCTCCGTCAGGACCCGAACTCATCCCCTTCCAACCAGCAAGCCAGCCTCTATCCACTACACCACGGCAGCCCTCGCCCAGACTTTATAAACACTTGAAAAGTAAACCGAGTCATTTCTGATCCACATATTATCGAAGATTTCCAGCAACTTCAGCCTCAACCTTAATTTAGTTTCCGTTGGTCAGTTGGTACCACCACAGTGCCAACAGAATCATACCAGCGAGCTTTTGTGGGATTCTTCAGACTAGGTTGAAGCTGTTCAGTGCATTCTTTTTCTCATTGTCAAACTAGTAGTTGTGTGCACACATGAATGTTTTCAGCAACATCTCTAAGGGGATTTATGTAGCGCAGTGTTTTAGTAGCTTCCTTCCTTCCACAGCCCCTCCCCAGATCACTCCTTTCCCCCCTCTCTCCATCTTTCCCTTAACTTAAATTTAGAATAGGAAATCAATTAAAATTCTTGTATGTTCTTACGTATAAACGGACAGTAGTGGGTTCTACCCTGGTAGTATGTAATATTCTCATCCTCCCCTTATAGGATGCCATTTTTCTTTTTTTGAAGCCCCACCCTGACTTTTGTTGGAAGCCCTAAATATAGCTGGACCTTAAATATGACCTGACGGCTGAACAGCGTTTCCGGGACGACCTCTCCACGGGTGATCCTCATCTGCATGGTGTCACGTTGTGTCACCGGGTGTTTATCGCTTGTGTGATGTCCTGGTGGGGTACAACTTTACATACATGCATACTTCTACCCTGGTGAGCTCTGCTGTTCGAGTCGAGTGGGATACTGAAAACTGTCCCCGCCAGTGAAGAGGTCCAAAGCCGACGGTATCAACAGCAGTCTGGTGTGTGTGTGTGTGTGGGGGGGGGGGGTGGGGGGTGGGTGGGCGGTGGATGGGTATGTGTGTGTGTGTGTGTGTGTGTGTGTGTGTGTGTGTGTGTGTGTGTGTGTGTTTGCCCTGCCTTTTCTCAGACGACTTACAATCTACCATCTTCATTCTTGTAGCTACATGGCTGCGGTAAACCTTGTGGATACTGCTTACATGCGTGCTGCCCCTCTGCCATTTTTTTTTCCTGTCTGCTGTCCGAAGGTTTGACGCCATGAGAGGAACAAATCTGTCTGGATGGCAGAAGAACAGGGCAGCTCCCAAGCACTCCGTTCAACCTCAGTACAAGTAAGGGATGCTTATCTCTTCGTCTTCTGTATGGGTCTTGAACGAAATAAAGCCAAGCCGTTCTATCCTTCGCTATCGCTTTCAGCTCTCCCATGTCCCCTTCATCTTTTTAACTTTACCCCCTAGCTCCCTACTCCATGTGTGTGTGTGTGTGTGTGTGTGTGTGTGTGTGTGTGTGTGTGTGTGTGTGTTTGTGTGTGTATTATTTCCCCTCTTTTATATGCGCGCCCTTGGGTTTTCAGTGCAAAGATATTCTAGTCATATTGACCACAGCTTTTCTCAACGTGTGTCCTTTCCACCGCCAGCGTCTTTTCTTCACCTCTTGGTCAACTGGAACTTGTTTAGTTCTCTCCCAAAGCTCTACATTAGTGATTACGGATGCTTATGGATACGGTCTAATCCTGTGCTTCTTTTTTATTGTATCCCAACAGGATGTTGTCGATAGCCACAGTTGCGGCACAGGAACCATCGGAGGCGGCAGTGGGAGTGGCAATTTGAGCGTCACCGGAAGCGGGTCTGCCACAAAAGGGGGAGGTTCTCTTGGTGAGGAAGGTGGCAATCACTTACCCAAGGACACACGCCCCCCGCGGCTGCGAGAACTGTCCCGATGGAAGAACCGGCCACGCATTGAGGCCACAAGCGAGGAGAGTTCAGACTGTGAGATGATCTCAAGCGTATAACGTCACTCATTTCGTATTTGTCTCATTATTTAATTATACTGTTGTGCGAAAGATATATTTTCCAGTACGTTTTCAATGTGAGCTTTCAGAAAAACCTATTTTTCTAAACGAAACATGCTTGTTCGGTCAGTCATACAAATCATTGAAATCAATGGAATGTTTTGTAATTTTTTGTTGAGTTTAATAAATGACAGGGGGGAAACTCTCTTATACATTAATCAGAAGATAATTAATGTATGATAATGTCAATAGAGATAACAAATAAAATACGAGTTACACAAATGAGATGCTAATCATGGAGATACATTTTTGAAATTAAGGGCTAAATTTAACGGGACGAAACAAAAAACACAATGCACCTTGAAAATGATTGGAAGCTGTATAAAAACGAATATTTGGTGCACTTTGTTTATTGAAAAAATTATTGTTCGAAATAATAAAGCAAAAAATATGTACATAAAATATGTTAGTTGAAATTAAATTATAGTTATCAATTCTCTAGCGGCCCACATACGCCGATATCAATGTTCCATAATTTTCATTATGTTTATAATAACCATTCTTGTCATTGTGTAGCTGTCGATATGTTCATTTAACTTTTTTTTTTTTTATTCCTTTCTTTTTTTTCGGATTCAGTAGTCATATTTTCTTTGACAGCGGTTCTCAAACGGCAAAGTAAAGGACTCTTTCCCATGTTATCAAGCCTATTGGGCATATAGGACTTGACCTATATTTTATAGACAAATCGGCACTCGTTGGATGATGTGCTCAGCGTCACGTTGACCACCTTTACTTCCCAGGATTGTCCCTGATACTCACTCAAGGCTGGGTCGACCTGGAAGCCAAAGCCGTTTTTGAAGAAGGAAAAAAAAGGTATGTTCCGTCATGACCCGAACCTACGACATTTCGATCCACAGGTGAGCGTCTAGCCGCTACCCAACGGCAGCTCTTGTTTATGAGACGGTATTTATTGCATATTTTAAATGAGACTGTTCTCAGTACACAGTTGTAAAATGTTTCCTACGACAGTGTTTTTCAAACAGTAGTCATACACTGTTTTAGATGACAGCGCGTCTCAAACTTCTTTTTCATCTTTTCAGTGTTCACGGGCTGAAAACAGGCGAAAATCTGTGACTGTTCGTCCACTTTCTGGAACTTGTTTTCCATGCAGATCCGTTTTACATAATTTTTTATTTTTTATTTTAATGCAGATACCCCCAAACCCAAACATAAAATGGGACACATGAACCCACTTAGGGAGCTTCTCAAACAATAGTCATAGACTGTTTTCTGGGAGCCTGCTTAGTTGTAGTACTTTCCCCTTTGTTACTGTTGTTCATGCTGAGAAAGGCTCTGGCCGATGCGTTGATTTCTGTGTTTTGTGCACGTTGTTCTACTTCCCAATTTCGCTAAGATTTTTAATTATAGTTTACCGGATTTCTTCTCTGTATGTTCTATATGTCAGCGCTTCTCCGATGTTAGTTTCGCATCTCTTCTGGTTTTCTTTTTTTGTTTTTGTTTTTTGTTTTTTTTTTACTTTTCGTTCGATCTTAAATTGTGTACTATACCTAACTTTTTTAATGCATGTCATAAGTTGCCAGAAATCCAGACACACAAAATTGCGACCTACCTGTCTTGGATTGCCACAAATACTCACGTTTTCGGTCAAATGCCAGTATTAATTTCGAGATCAAATTTGTTGACACTATGCTACAGTCACCTAAGTAGTTAATCAGTCACCTAAGTTGTAAATCAGTCACCTTAGTAGTAAATCAGTCATCTAGGTTGTGAATAATTCACCTTAGTAGTAAATCAGTCACCTAACCAGTAAATTAGTCATCTAAGTATTAAATGTGTCACATAAGTGGTAAATCATCATTTCCTTCTTTTCTAGAAAACTGCGCTGGAACACTGCCTCCTTAACAAGCAGGTCGTACAACGCGAATAATAAAGGAAGCTTCCTTGTAAGTCAGAGTGCCTCTGCCTGAGGGGGCGAGGAACCAGTATCCTGCTTACATATAAGCCAAATCTGTAAAACGAATGTGCACGCAAAACTCAAGTTCTTTGACAAGACCAAAGTGTTGAAAAAACGAACGATCAGAACTTTGTGCGATAGTTTACAGCCGGTAAACACAAGGAATAAGAAAAAGGGTGACAAATGAAAATGTTGAGTTGCATGCAATGTAATATTTCATTTTGCCGTCATGTAGTAAGGTTTGCATGAATGCCTCTGGTATACCGTGAAAAGTTGCGTTGCGTATCCTTTACAGGACGTTGCAGAACGAACCCCAGCATTTGTTTGCTGTTGTGGTTTTTCTAGGCAATTTTAGCTCCAGTAGTTTGCCATTGCTTTCTGGACAGTTAGCTTCTCGATATCACTGTCGAAACCAATGCAGCTGGGGCACCCCGGGATTACGAAACGCGTTCGAAACCGCCTAAGCCACAGACGATGACTGGTATATTGTAAAGTGAGAAATAACAGAACTGAAAATGCACTTCGGTGACTTTAGCATAGTGCCAGCGAATTATGCACTTCGGTGACTTTAGCATAGTGCCAGCGAATTATGCACTTCGGTGACTTTAGCATAGTGCCAGCGAATTATGCACTTCGGTGACTTTAGCATAGTGCCAGCGAATTATGCACTTCGGTGACTTTAGCACAGTGCCAGCGAATTATGCACTTCGGTGACTTTAGCATAGTGCCAGCGAATTATGCACTTTGGTGACTTAAGCATAATGCCAGCGAATTTTGTATGTTATTGTTGTTGTTGTTGTTGTTGTGGTTGTCGTCGTCGTTTTAACTAATGCGGACACAAACATATGGTCGCTCTCGATACATTGTGAATGTCTAATCGTTGGGAGTTCACGATAGGCACGTGGTTACATTGAACTTCCGACGATTTGGCTAACTCATTGTATCGAAAGCTACCATTTGTATTTCACTGGAATGTATTCAGTTTGTGTGCTTCTTTATATACTGATGTAACTATATAATAACGCACATGACAATTAGTAGTAGCAGTAAATTTTACCTCACTAGGACATCACACAAGCGATAAACACCCGATGACACAAAGTGCCACCATGTGGATGAGGATCACCCTTCAGAAGTCCCGGAAGCCGCGTTCAGGCATTAGACCATATTTATGGCCATGCTACATTGCTGCCCCTGGCAAGAGCCAGGTGGGGCTTCAAAATAACGAAACATTGCATCCCACAAGGGTGTGACAAGTTAATGTGTACATGACAAGATACAGCGAAATATGTATGGCAATAAACTGTGCCATTTATTGTTTGTGTTCGCATTATTTAAATTCACTACACAAAAACATTGTTTTAAAAATTGTTTTTGTCGTTATGATTAGTTTGATAATTTTCCTTTACTCAATGTCTTACTATACAGCCATGCATGCTGTAAAACGTAAATATTGTCAATCTTTTAGTTTTGTTTGTAAATGATCACATTATTGCACATTCATTTCCATACACCCCCGTGTGAGTTATGGGGCCCCATTGTGGGGGAAACAAGAATAGACCCACTGCCTACCCAAAAGTATGTCTTAAGTGTCGACTAATTGGGAGCTTCCTTTGAAGTCGGAGCGCATCTGCATGAAAGGCAAGGAACCACCAGTCTGCATTTAAGTGAATCGGATCTGTAAAACTGATGCACACGCAACACTCAGATTTTGGAGCAGGACTGCAGTCCAGGAGTGGACGAACATCCAGAACTTTCCACCAGAGTCTACAGCTGATGAACGAGAAGAAGAAGAAAAAGATTTCCATACATACTCCAGTCTCCTGGTATAAGTTCTCGGCTTTAGCACTGGATACGGTACAAACAGTAAAGCCAAAGACCATGTTTTACATCATCGTGCGAATTTGCCATACAGGGCTAAACCTATATTTTTCCCCGTGTGGGTTCTAGGGCCCTGTTATAGGGGAAACAAGAATAGACCAATTGCTTACCCCAAAGCGTGACGTAAGAGTCGACTTATTGGGAGCTTCCTTCAAAGAGAGTGAGAGAAAGAGATAGAGAGAAAGAGAGAGAGAAAGAGAAAGAGAGAGAGAAAGAGAGAGAGAAATAGAGAGAGAGAGAGAGAAAGAGAGAGAAAGAGAAAGAGAAATAGACAGAGAGAAAGAGAGAGAAAAAGAGAGAGAGAGAGAAAAAGAGAGAGAGAAAGAGAGAGAAAGAGAGAAAGAGATAGATAGAGAGAAAGAGAGAGAGGGAGAGAAAGAGAGAGAGAAATTGAGAGAGAGAAAAAGAGAGAGAAAGAGAGAGAGAAAGAGAGAGAGAGAGAAAGAGAGAAAAAGAGAGAGAGAAAGAGAGATAAAGAGAGAAAGAGAGAAAGAGAGAGAAAAAGAGAGAGAGAGAGAGAAAGAAAGAGAGAAATAGAGAGAGAAAAAGAGAGAGAGAAAGAGAGAGAGAGAAAGAGAGAGAGAGAAAGAGAGAGAGAGAGAAAGAGAGAAAGAGAGAGAGAGAGAGAGAGAAAGAGAGAGGGAGAGAAAGAGAGAGAGAAAGAGAGAGAGAAAGAGAGAGAAAAAGAGAGAGAGAAAGAGAGAGAGAAAGAGAGAGAGAGGAAAAAAGAGAGAGAGAAAGAGAGAGAGAGAGAGAGAGAGAAATAGAGAGAGAAATAGAGAGAGAGAGAAAAGAGAGAGAGAAAGAGAGAGAGAAAGAGAGAGAAAAAGAAAGAGAGATAAAGAGGGAGAGAGATAAAGAGAGAGAGAGAGAGAGAGAGAGAGAGAGAGAGAGAGAGAGAGAGAGAGAGAGAGAGAAGAGAGAGAGAGAATCGTTTTTAATACTTTTTTACACTGACTTGTGATAAGCGGGCACATTATATTATTCTTTGATTTGCAACACAAGTGTGTCCTGGGCATATGACCAACGAGACAAACACTATCAAGTGCGTTAGATTTCAGCCACAAATCATCATCGATAGTCCCATCATAAATACCAGCACCCAACATAGAAAACCATTACCTAATTTTATGACATCGTATAC